AAAATGTAAATCTAATTTTATGGATTACCCAGAGCCCCTCTCTGAGGGAAGGAGATGGTTAAGAAATACAAAAAATAAACAAACAAACATCTTGAATAGTTGATGATCTGTTGAGTAAAATCTTAGGTTTCAAAGTGTGTGCAGATTCCCCCCCAGAGATAATGGCTTGAGAGATTAGAACATTTTAGCTTCCTAATAAGACCTAGTTATGACCCAGCATAATTTCATACAATTATGGGAATTTGAGACCAATAAAAGCCAGCTTCATAATAGTAGAGGCTAATTGTTGTCTTGTTTAGTACTGTGATACCTTCATTCCTGATGTAATTTACCTGTCCAACAAATCAGAAAATAACCTAGCAATTGAATCCACTTCTTAATGAATGTGAGGGAGGATGAAATGATTATGTATGTTATTAGAATAATGGTATTATATAAATAATACCATTGTGTTGACCATCCTAATGAAACTACAGTTCAGTGTCTAGATTAACATAATCTCCTAAGAAGTGCAGAAGCTCTTCAAGAGCTTTGGAAAGCAGCAAAGGTAGCAAGCACAAGAAAAACAATCACCGTGTGGGCTATAAGATATTGAACATCATAACCATTCCAGAAATGATGGTTGTAAAGAAAAGAAGAAGAAAAACAAGGACACATAGCAATAGGAGGGGTTTGCACGAGGTGGACAAAGTTCTGGTAAGTGTCAAGTTAAGTAAGTTGGATGAATGGGCTTGGAAGTTCTACTTCCCTGGTCTGCAATATTATCATTATTTATAATGGTTATCCCAGCTCTTGTTTTCACATGCAAGGGATTGAGTCTGGATGAGTACGGAAAAAATCAGTACAACAGAGAGTTTAATTCTGAGTGACTAGTAAGTGACGGTATAAAACTCCTGAAACTTGGCCTCCAAAGGCCAGACTCGCTCCTAAAGGTATAAAGGCTAGATCCTTTATACCTGTTTAGGAGTTCAGGTTGCCATAATGTTTTTTTTTCCTGATTGACTGCTTCCTGCAAATATTCTCTGTAACAGAGTAACAAAGTTGGAAGTGACCTTGGAGTTTTTCTAATGATAATCCAACTCCCTGCTCAAGCAGGAAGTCTTCTTACTCATATAGAATATGGTGGCTGCTACTTTTTATTTTTTTGACATTCCTGATAGTTTTGTAAGGTGATTCAGTTAAACTCAAATCTCTCTACTTCCCTTATTGGATAATCGGATCACTCCACATGGTGACTTCATATTTAATACTGTGTGTTACAACCTATGTTTCTTCATAAATCCTGAACCAGTATATACAATACCAACTTTCGGGCATACAACCTGTACTTCAGTGCTTTATATGCTTATCAAAATAGCTCTTTAATCAGAATACTAGCATTCCTTAAGCATGGTTACAAATGCAAATTTAGCCTACATACCTAACAACTGTGTGTCTAATATAGATGATACATCAGACATATAAATCTGTAAGTCTCAGGGTACAGATAACTGACTGTGTGTTGTACGTATCAGTGAATCAGATTTCTTTTTATCCGTGTAATAAACAATATTCTGTATCATGGTGGTATTTGAATTCCAAAGCATGATGAAGCAAAATGATTTATTTTTCATTAGCAATAGTTCGTTAATTTTTCATTTCTGATTGCCAAAATTTAATTCCCACTGGTGCTCTTATGTAGATGGTACACTTTGTTTGCTCATTGTAATTGCACATTGCATCCTGGATGATAAAGATCATTTTTATAATAGAATTAAGACCTCATTTTAATGCCAGTAGTTTCTCCAGAATTTAATGATCCAGAATTTAATGATCTCCAGAATTTTTGAAGCTCTGAACCATTCTACATTACATTTAATAGATATTTCACTATTTATATTACATAAGAAATGCAGGTTTGGTCATTTCAAAATAGAATAACAAATCCACAGGGATATAAGATAGACTACCAAATTGTATTATGTTACTTAAAAAAATTAATACTACCCAAATCTTACTTTTTTTTCTGACCATACCACCACATGTTTTCCTTTTCATTTATTATTTGTTACCATGGGATGCCAACTTCCTTCCAAACAGCTCATAATAATTTTAAAGAAGCAGTTTTATTTTAACACGGTATCTTTTTCCAACCTTGTAGCTCCAGGATGTGTTGGAACTGAAACTCTTCATCACTTACAGATTGTAGCAGTTGCCAACCTCTAGGTTGTAGAGAACTCTGCTGTAAAACTGAAAAAGAAAGGGACTCTATTTATCCCTTTCAGTATATTTCTGAACCAAACAGATTTATATCTGGGAATGTCAGATCAAAATCAGCAATGCATAGAGTTGACTTTTACACTGTTAACATTTAGTATAAGAGATCTTTCTCCAGGAAATTGATTTTGACATTTCTGAGGTTTTTAATTGTGATTATGGTTTAGATTAGAAAGGGGCAGCATAAAATCCACCCAGCCACCACTAAGGAGATGATGATTATGATACCATCAGAACAATGCTTAATGTACTGAACAATAATAAAAAGGGGCTTTATAATAAAGGAAATAAAAGGATGGCTCCTAATGATTGGACTTGCAATCTAAAAACAGCTGAAGCCCCATATTTATCCATTTAAAATATTATCCAACTTTTTAAAATTAAGAAATGCAATTATCTTTGATTCCAACAGTATATAGTTTATTTATGATATATTTAGTTATGTTTGCATTAATGCCTATATGTTACATTTGTCATCTGTATCTCCAGTTTCAACAGTACAGGCAGTCCTCAACTTATGATCATAACTGAGCCCAACATTTCTGTTGCTAAGTGAGACATTTGTTAAGTTAGTTTTGCCCCATTTTATGACTTTTCTTGCCCTAGTTGTTAAGCGAATCACTGCAGTTGTTAAGCTAGTAACACAGTTATTAAGTGAACCTGGCTTCCCCATGGATTTTGCTTGTCAAAAGGTTGCAAAAAGTGATTGCGTGATCCCGGTCAATGCAGCAGTCATAAATATGAGTCAGTTGCCAAGCTTTTGAATTTTGATCATATAACCACAGGGATGCTGCAGTGGTCATAAGTGTGAAAAATGGCCATAAGTAACTTGTTTCAGTATTGTTGTAACTTTGAACGGTCACGAAATGAACTGTTGTAAGTCAAGGACTTACCTGTATTACAAATTTTACAAATGTCACACCCGGATCTGCAGAGAAGTTATTGGAACTGAAGAGAGATTTTTTTTCAGTCTAGACTTTAACAATTCTTGAAAATGGGAAATGGAAAGATGAAGCTACAGGACAGTACTCGCAAACAGAAACGTGGTGATTACCTATGAAGTTACTTTATTTTATTAGGAAGCTTAGAGTAAAATGTTAAGTCATCGTGTTGCTTCCTTTAAAGAAGAAATCTAAGAACTAACCTCTGTCTTTTTTTTCCCACTGATAATATAATTTTTAGCTTATTTTATCAATACATGGCACATTCTGCAATCAATTTTCCCTTTGTTGTTTCTGCTAATTGTGCCTTTTATCCAAGAACTCATTTGTGCCTTTATTGTTATAGGTTACAGATTCTACATATCAGTAGATTATGTTTGTTTTCTCTTCAAATCTTCCTGTTGAACATATTTCCAAAGCTGGAAATACATACATTTTAGCATTTCCTCACCCCCGCATCCCCTTTAATCTGGGACAAAGGATGGGAAGGTAGGGATTTGCAAAGAAATTCATACTGTTCTCTGCATAGAACAACTGGCTCTGGATGGTTCATGAGCAATTAGAAACGAGCATGTTTGGTTTGCATGTGAACAACAAGGCTGCTTTGGTCCAGAAGCACATCAATTGTTCTAGGCAGAAAAGGCTGTTTTACAAAAGAAGAACAAGAAAAATTAAGGAGGGATTTCTTCAGTAGTGGGCTGCAAATGGTTTAACAACCAGTTCGCGTCTAAGGCACTTGCACGCAGCACTGAAAATGGAACATTTAGAAGCTCAGCTGCTTACCTTCCAAGTCAGCAACTGTAGGTAGAACAGCGAGGGGGGTTGGGAATCAGCTGTGTCGCATGATTGAGATGAGCTAGAAAGCAGGAAATAAAGGACAGGATAGGGCAGAGGTGGGTGGGCAAAGCCAGCTGATTGTTGGAACTACTGGTTTGCTTGAACCGGTTCAAACCACAAGCAGTCCACCACTGGAATTTTTCAGTGATGACAGCTGAGGGGGGAGCAAGGCAAGGCACCAAGCATTAGGAAGATTTGGAGATCTGCAGGTCCGTGGGACATTTTGTTCTGGGAGTTGCCGAGAGCATCCAGAAATAAGCATACATGCTATGTAAAGGAAGCAAAAGCAACATTGGGTATCTTTTTTTCCGAGAATGGGAAGAAAGGGAGCAATTTGCACCAGCCTTGCAGGACCTAACCCATAATATCACTCTGGGATTCATGTGGGCTTTTATTTTGGCTGAACTATAGATGATCTCAGTTACTTCTTTCTTCCTGCTTTTTTCTTTGTGTTTTGATTTTTTATCTGAGATTTCATCATTCGACTTAATGTAGACATCCACTCCAATGGACTCCAATAGCCTATTTTTGTTTTACTGTTAGTCACATTGTGCTGGTATTCTGGAAAATGTTATGCATCCTCCACAAAGTCTCATATCTAAGGAGTGAAAAATGGTGCCCTCTGCAAACATGTGAAAATAGTATTTACAGAAAGTTTTGCTAAGTTTTCTTTATTTAGTATTTCCCAGGTAAGAAATACCTCAGGAAAAAGGAGTTGTTCAACTTTATTGACAAATGATTCCTAACTTTTTTTTGAAAAAAAAAACATGTTTTGTAATAAGATGCACATTTATAATTTATTGTAATTTATATAATGGACACATAATGCAATCTTATATAGCAACTTTGATAATACTATTAATTTTTGACAATCTGTGATATTGCTTAGAAATTGAAGTGACAAACTGTAAAAAAAAAAAAGCAAATAGAAATATGACAATAATTCCCTTCTGTTATAGAATTGTCCTCTACCTGAAGATACTGGGATTAAATATATCCAGCAAAACCCAGAGTATGTGGACAAAAGGCTGATTTTGAAGGAGAATCTCTTCAAGTAGTAAGATTCTTCATTAAAGAAAAAGAAATTGAATAATTGAAATTATACCAGTATTCTCAGATTCTTATGCACTCCAGCACCCCTATAAGTTCTCTGTTCTCCTTCACCAGCCCAGCTGTAAAGAGGCTATTGGGCTGGAAGCAAGGAGATGAAGAGGAAAAATGGGCAGAAAAAGCTGTTGACTCCTTGGTAAAGAAGCTGAAGAAAAAAAAAGGTGCCATGGAGGAACTGGAGAGGGCCCTTAGCTGTCCTGGGCAGCCCAGTAAGTGTGTGACAATCCCACGCTCTTTGGATGGAAGGCTGCAAGTATCTCATCGCAAAGGTTTGCCGCATGTCATTTATTGTAGAGTGTGGCGCTGGCCTGATCTACAGTCTCATCATGAGTTAAAACCTCTGGAATGCTGTGAATTCCCATTTGGCTCAAAGCAGAAAGAAGTCTGCATTAATCCTTACCATTATCGAAGAGTGGAAACCCCAGGTAAGTCAATCGTCTAAATGTTTAATGAAGGATAGCACTGCATTGATCGCATATTTCATAATTATTCTATCTGCAAAAAAAAGGAAAGCTGCCTACAAGCTGTGATTGAAAAAAGTAGCTAGCTCAAAGTAGGTCAAAGAGATCAGATGCAAACATTTAGTTAAGATTACATTGGAAGATCAAAATCCTGAGAAGAAAACATAAGGAGAATTCTGATGCTACGCTTATTAATCTATTGGATGGAATGACTGAAAATAGTGCAGCAATAATAGAAATATATTAATATATTAATAATAAAATTATATTAATAATAAAATTAGTGGCTCTTAGATGATGAATTCTTTACATTTAATCAGGTAGTTTTAAAAAGTATTTTAAATTTGTAGATGATTTTTAATGGTATAAACATAAGAATTTGTTCAACAAATGCACGTTAGCCTAGGTAAATTCTACCATCATGTTCAATCTGATAGTTTAGTTATGTAAATTGGTCTGTTGTTAATAACTGCAGAAAAAACAATTACTACCAACCTGCCTTCAATTGAGAACCTGTATACTGCACGAGTCAAAAAGAGGGCTGTGAAATTATTTACAGATCCCTCACATCCCGGACATAAACTGTTTCAACTCCTACCCTCAAAATGACACTATAGAGCGCTTCACACCAGAACAATTAGACACAAGGACAGTTTTTCCCCAAATGCCATCACTCTGCTAAACAAATAATTTCCTCAACACTGTCCAATTATTTACAAAGTCTGCACTACTATTTACTATTAATCTTCTCATCACTCCTTATCATCCATCCACTCCCACTTGTGACTGTATGACGCTTGTATCCTTATGATTTATATTGACTGTTTCCTAGTATGATTTGATTGTTTATTGTACTCTACAACTATTAAGTGATGTACCTTATGATTCTTAATTTTTGACGAATGTATCTTTTCTTTTACATACACTGAGAGCACCAAGACAAATTCCCTATGTGTCCAATCACACTTGCCCAGTAAAGAATTCTATATTCTACATATTCTAACTTCTGTATCAGTTATAAAACAAAACAAAACTTTCTGTGCTTTTTAAAAGCTATTATACTATACTCGACTATAGGTGAAAAAGCTTTTCATTTGCTTTTTTTTAAAAAAAATATTTTAATTATGGATACCTGGCATGTAACTTTCCGTATATCTTGTTCTTGTCCAAGGTGCTGAAGTTGTAGAGTTCTTTTAGCTTCTTACTTTGAACTGCACTAAATGTTATTTATACAGGAAATGTATTGCTGCTGCATACATTTTCATTGGAAATTACTAAGAAAGAACTCTGTATTAGATAAGAGTAGTAGCTAAGCACTGTTTGGTACTTAGCTTTTGTGTGATTTCAAGTCATTTTTGGTTTCAGATGACAGATTAGACCCTGCAGATTCCCTTAAGTCTTTACCTTGTGAAGAACATCTTAAACATATAATATCACTGCAGGTCAAATGTGTATCTTATAAAATACAGAAGGAAAGGAAGGAACCTATAATATAGCTTTGCTGCAATCCTACAAGAGCAGGAGGAAGGAGAACATATGACTCTCTGGATGGTGACAGATTGTTTTGCTAGCTGCCCAAAAACACCTTGAATTTTGCTCTGCAGTGGTATGGCACTATGAAGTATCTTCAGAACCATTGTATATTAATAGATTATCTTTTAACTAACTTAGCAATAGAATTTTGTACTTGCTGCAGTTTTTAGCTTTAAAGCCTTAAAGCTGTGTCACAAATCTCTAGACTTGAGGTTCCAAATAATTAGTATTTCTGTTTACATGCTTGTGATCAAGCAGCTCAGAAATAATCTAAAATGGATTATATTGTATAATGTGACAAATGTGCCAGATCTTGGAAAATACATAGTTTGTAACTTTAGCAAAGCTATAGTTTTGAGCTAAAGCATCATATGTAATGTCTGTTTGAAAATTCTATGGATGGGTAATAAGATACTTCTGCCTAAGACTCTAAATAACTTTTATTTTCAAAACATCTGTTTTGTTCTTTTGCTGTAGTGTTACCTCCAGTATTGGTTCCAAGACATAGTGAATTCAACCCACATCTTAGCCTCCTTGCCAAATTCCGGAACACATCTCTTCACAGTGAACCACTGATGCCTCACAATGCAACTTACCCTGATTCTTTCCAGCAGCCTCCCTGCACCCCTTTCCCAGCATCCCCCAATATGTACTCTCAGTCACCAAGCAGTATGAGCTACCCAGACTCCCCAGGAAATTCTTCTGCACCGGGAAGTCCTTATGAGCTCACAGGTATGCAAAATACTATTCCTGAACACTAGATGAGTGGTGCTGAGTCTACGGTAATTTCTTTTTAGGAATCAGAGTTTTGAATCTTTTTTTTTTTCTTTTTATGACCCTGTTATCCCTTAATTCAGGGTAGAATTGAGGTGACTGAATGGAGCTGAGTGTTTCCTGGCTGGCCTTCCTGATGCCTATGTGGAGTTGGCAGCGGATAATTTTCTCTTTGCACTCTGAGAGAGAAACAAAATATCTGCTATTACCTAGGATTGAACTCTCAACTTTCTGGCTGGGAGGCGAATGTCTTTCATGCACTAGGCCACCATGCCACTCTAAAGTTTTGCAAAATAAAATAAAATAAATCGGCTTTCGATGGTACCTCATTTTTACAAGTTCAAGCAATTTTGCTAATAACAGCTGTATTACTCTGAGAATTTGATTTGAAGAGTGGCTTATTTATTAATTGATTTATTGGTTTATTGATTTTACAGTTTTTATAATTCAACAAGCTTTAAAGACTGTGTAGAGGTTGCAACACATTATAAAAGCAACAATAGAAAAAAGATATGAAAACCAGCAGCAATAAGAAATAATTCTAGTTAAAATTACTAAAGTACTCAGTAGAGAGTACTCAAGGTTTTAAACTAGGAACAAGGAAACCTAGTTATTTTATCCACAGAAACTCCCTGACTGACTTCGAGCCACTTACTCAGCCCAATTTATTTCACAAGATTTTGTGTTTGTGTGTGTGTGTATGTGTGTGTTGTGTTGTGTTATGAAAAAATAGTATGTATGCAATCCTAATTTATCCCAGTTGTGATAAATTGAATAGATTTATTCAGATAGTCAACAAAAACATTAATACAGAGTTCCAGGTATTCTTGAAAGTTGAAACAGAGAATCTGGACTCTTTGTGGTTTATGTGTGCATAAAATGAAATCATTTGAAAGCATCTGATCTAATCCAATATAATGTGTGTAATAAATATTTGTGCTTCAGTCTCTGAAGTCTTTTCTTTGTATTTATATAGGCAGGTTATGAAATACTAAGTACAGCATTGTTTTCTTTTTCCTAGCTGATACACCTCCTCCACCTTATAATGGCAGAGAAATATCACGAAGCCACAATGGATGTCCTGTACATGCAGTTATAGAGAGTCCATTAGTGCTGTCACTGCCCAATGGAGGTAAATCTACTGATGGAGAACCTGAAAGTATGAAAATACTGTATTTTTTTCCATAGCAGGAAGGATTTGGCCCAGACCTGATTGGTAGCCCAGGAACTATTCAATCTTTGTCAGAAGTGGGGAGGGAAATACACAGTATGAACACTGTCCAGAGGCAGGGGGTGACCCAAAAGTTACATGCAGTGACCTGGGCTTGACCCTAATACAATCATTACTCCCCAAAATTAACAAGGGAGGGGGAAGGAAAAAACCAACTCTGCCACTTCCCCCAGCATGGGAAAAAGAAACCTTCATGGGCCAGAGTACAGATCCAAGGGCGGCAGGAGGAAGGGAGGAAGGAGGGTTCTCCACTGGGATCATATCATGCAACAGGGCAGCCATGAGAGAGCCCCCTCCTCTGTGAGTTCCAAGGGGAAAGAAATAGCAAGTTGGTTGGTGGAAACGTTCAGCAGCTGGGATGTCCCTGCAAGTGTGCATATACATCCCTTGGATGGAAAGGCCAAGCCAGGTAACTAAGGGTGGTATTGACATCTGCTCAGGTAGCTTTTGATAGCCACTTTTCCCAAAATCTTCTGCAGCAGCCCATCTTCATCCAAAGTGATCCTTAACCAAACACTTCTGGTAGACTCAAACCAGAATAGTCTTCTATTGATTTGATTTGAATATTTGTGATATTGTTGAAGATTTGAATGATTTTCCTCTGAGTTAGGAAGGATAAACAGTTGTCATGGCAAAGAGCAATTTAAAAAAGTAAAAGTAGTGGTGCATAGGTTTATTTTAGTTTATTTATACAAGTTTTATCCCTCTTCAATCCACTTTTATTCTTAAGAGGTTGGAACAGGTTTACTCTTTAGTTCCTTACATAGTTAAAGACACTAAAGATGGGATATAATTTGATTTATATAGTTTCCCATTTCCCCCCAATTTATGATTGTTCTGCCCTATTTCTAGATTTTTTAGTAATTGTTTAAAAACACTGCCTCTCCAGTTTGTATCGATTTGCATGCATTCTCCTAATACACAAATTTTATATGTAACTTTTCCTAACAAAAAAAACCTTTCACAAACATTTTCCCCATCTATTTTTGTTTTACACATATTGTTAATTGAGCTATATCACAATTCACAATGCTGCAAGTATTTTGTAGTATAACTATGTTTTGGCTTGTGTATAGATTTTGAAAATGCAAATTTAAAAAGTATATATTATATTAAAACTGAAATTTTATTACTTTTGTCCAGTGTACCCTAGTAGACACTACAAGGTAACATTTTAAAGCAGTTTCCATGTGGTGCACAGTAATTAGGATACATACTTAAAATGGAGACAGAGAAAATAAGTTGCTAGATCAGTGTTTCTCCATGTAACTCAGTCTCAACCTGAATGGATGGCTTGTTGGAGAATTCTGGGAATTGAAGTCCACCCACACTCAACTTGCTAAGTTTGAGGACAGTGTTAAAGTTGTCCTGAAAAAGAACTCTGTTGAATCAAGTCAAGAATCATCATCATCGGTTCTGCAGCCAGTATGCAGTTATCTTCTCCATGAATTTGTTAGTCACTTTTTAAAACTTAACTACTTTTTCTGCCCTTGAATGTTACCCAGATTTGTGTGTGCCAGAGTGCTCTTTCATTTGATAACAGTACATTCCATAGTTTAATTATGCCTGTACAAAGAAACACACCTGCCATTCATTCCTGAATATCCCAGCATTTTATTTCAAGATATGACCCAAATTTTCTAATACTGTGAATGGATGAAAAGCTGTCCACATTTTATACACCATCTGTGATCTTATATAACTTAATAATGTTTTGCCCTTGTTTGCCTTCTTTTTGAACTTAAAACTTCAGCTTTAAGTTCAAGTTTTTGAACTTCTCATCTTTCCTTGAAGAATAACATGCAAGGCCAGAATAGTTTCATTCTTTCCTTCCCCTTTCCAAGTTCAGTAATGTCCAATGTTGGTGAACCTTATGTCAAAAATTCATAAATGCCTAATTTGACTGCTGGCATGTGTCTCAGACACACACACATCAAAGAAAAGAAAAACAATTCTGTACATATTCATTTAAAATTAAGTGCACTTTTCGTGCACAAATGCAAATGCCAATTTCACTCAATCACTGATAGTATGCTCATTTTGGAGACTATAATCACAGTTGTCTTCTGCACTTGTTTCTTCAATAATGAGCTTTATTGTGCA